AACAAGTGTGAAGTGGTATCTCTTTGTGGTTTTAATTTGCATTTCCCTAATAGCTAGTAAGTTAAGCATCTTTTAAATGATCTCTTGGTCATTTATTTGTATGTCTTCTAGGGGGAAGTATCTGTTCAGGTCCTCTGCCCATTTTTAATTGGATTTTTTGTATTTTTGTCATTGAATTGTATGCGTTCTTATATATTTTGGATATTAACCCTTTATCAGAGATGTTTGCAAATATCTTCTTCCTTTCAGTTGGTTACCTTATTTTGCTGATGATTTTCGTTTGTTTGTTTGCTTGCTTTTTTCTGTGCAGGAGCTTTTGGGTTGATATAGTGTTATTCATTTATTTTTACTTTTACTTCCCTTGCCTTTGAGGTCAAATTCATAAAATCATAAGACCAAGGTCCATAAGTTTAGTACCTATGTTTTCTTTTTTATATTTTATTGTTTCAGGTCTTATATTTAGGACTTTGATCCATTTGGGGCTAATTTTGTGTATGATGACAAACATTCTAGTTTCATTCTTTTACATGTGGCTTTCCAACTTTTCAGCACCATTTATTGAAGAAGTTTTGTTTTTTTCCATTGTATGTTTTTGGCTCCTTTTTCAAAAATTATTTGCCCATATACATATGGGTTAATTTCCAGCCTATCAATTTTGTTCCATTGGTCTGTTTGTTGTTTTTTCTGGCAATGCCATGCGGTTTTGATTACTCTCATTGACATTTTTAATTTAATTGTTTGGTTGCAAGAAGACATTGGCATTACTGCAAGAAGGCTTAGTTTGCCAAGTGGTTTTTTAATCATTTTTATCCGCCCATATTCTGAAATATAAAGTGTTCTCTCAAAAAAAGAAACTAGATTTGATCTATCTTCTCTTTAGTCAATGACTCTACAGAATGACATGTAAATAAGTAGGAAGGAGTGCAAGACTAAATGGCAGGGTCAAAGGCATCTGCAGTGTCAGGAGCTGTGTCTCTGCATTCCTAAGGCTGTAAATCACAAGCATTGAAACAACTCTGGAAGTGGCTGTAGGCAAAGAAATAAGGGACCCTTTCAAAAATCTAATGTAGTTAAAGCTTCCTCCAAATACCAAATCTACTAAATACATGAGCCATAAAATAATATTACATTCATGAAAAGGGTCCAAGAGACATGGGTAAAACTCTCAAGAGCTCAGCAGTGTGCAATGTACAGGGCTTCATTTTTATTGTCTTGAATCTATTGTATTTGAGAATAAAATTTTTCCCTTGATTTAGTTGAGCACAGTACAAATAGGATAGTTTTTTCTTAAGATATGTATTAGCCAGCTTTGATTCTGATCATTTGTCTCAAAACACAGTGCTTCTGAGGTAGAAGGACTACGGGAAAATTGGTAACATCATTTTCTTGGTCTCTCGTGTCAACATCAAAGTAAGAAAATTGAATCAGCCCTCCTAGGCAGAAAGTACAATGCTACTGAAATAACATCATCATGAAAATGTTTTATGGCCTAAAAGAAGTCATCAGTTCCTTTATTCTTAGGCCCTGAGCTGGCAGTTTAGATCAGCTACCATTTTATATATGTAATATTTTAAAATAAAGATGCAGTGAGTTCTCTAAACAGTCCTAGACTTTAAATTTATTGTTAGGAAAAATTTTCTATTTTTTCTGTGTATACAGAAGGTGTTAGATGAAACTCTAGTAAATTAAATGAATTATCACCTATGGCAGGGCCTAGTTATTTCTTTGTGTTAGATTATTAGTCTTATATTTTGAAAGAGAATATTTGTTAATATTAGGTCATGTTTATATACAAAAAAAAATGACACTAGCTTAGCCCTGACTGATGTGGCTCAGTGGATTGAGTGCTGGCCTGTGAACCAAAGAGTCTCTGGTTCCATTCCCGGTCAGGGAATGTGCCTGGGTTGCAGGCCAGGTCCCCAGTAAGGGGAGCACAAGAAGCAACATTGATGTTTCTCTTCCTCTATTTCTCCCTCCCTTCCCCCCTCTCTAAAAATAAATAAATAAAATCTTTAAGAAATAAAAAATATATGATGCTAGCTCAGACAAGGTAGTTCATTTCTATCCTATTTTTTTTAATCCAGAGGTAGGCAGTCCAGAGGTGTTATACTGTCACTCCATATCTTCAGTGACATAAACTCTGACATGATGTTCCACTGTTAATATTGTTTCCTTTTTTCCTCAAGGTTGCCTCATGGTCCAAGATGACCACTGAGGCTCCAGTCATCACACATGGATTCCAGGTCAGCAGAAGGAGGGGAGGAGGAAGTAGGAGAGAGAAAAATTACAAAGGTCCCAACAAAATCAGCTTCCCTTTAAGCAGTCAGTTAAGGAATCTCTAGAAACCTTTCTGCTCAGATCACATCAGGCTGAACATCTTCCTGAGCGACATCTGTCTACAAGGGAGGCTGAGAAATAAAGTCTTTACTACAGGAAAAGTGACATATGGAAAATTTGTTTTCTGTTACTAAGAAAGAAGGAGTGCATGGATGCTTGGAAGGCAATGCAGCCGTTTCTGCCACAGAAGCTACATCTCTGAGTGGAAAAGCTGGAGTATAATGCAGGGACCTCTTGCGATAACCTACCCAGAGTAATTCCCATAGAACCTGTACATGCCCCTTCATGGCTTATTAATTGATATAAATGCAGCTCGTTAATACAAAGCCCTACAAGCTGAAGTTTTTGTGTGGACAGCTACATTTTAGGTGCAGAAAAGACCGTCATCTCCCAAGATGACTTTCTTTATCTGATCAGCATTGGGGGGTCTTTCTGTCCCCAGGACCGTGAGAAGTGTGCACGTATCTTCATGAAGCTGAACAGGTCAACAACGCACACACTGCGTGAAAATCAAAAATATCTAATCTGGCTATTTTGAAAGTTATATTTCAGTAGCTAACTAAAAGTATCTTTTCTTTTACAGTACATCATTTCACACAAAGTGAATTACTTATAAAATTGATTTAAAAAAACACTTTTTAAGAAAGATTTTGCAGCTGCCTTTTTGAAGGACTGGTGTTTACCATTATATTTTATGTATGTATAGCTAATAAACAAAAACTTACAAACTCGCTAGGTTTTTCTGAAAATGGAGTACTTGTCTTAACTAAAAACATGCCAACTTCTCTAAAGTAAGAACAATTTTGGTTATCTTTTTTATGAAATGTTACGTTTTTCTTATAAATGTTACCATATTAGCCACAGGGGTAGAACAAGCTGACTCTATTGTAAAGTATCTCATTTTATCACAGATAATTATTCTGGAAAACAGAACAGGCCTCTGTATTTTCCTACCCAATCCTCAGCCTCTCTATGGTGTTATACAAAATAAACAAACAGATCAAGGCATCTCTTTCTGTGTGCTAGAAAGCTCTGTGTTAGGGGACAATCCAATTCTCTGGGCAGTGTGTCTAAACCATGACTGGTTCACAGTAATGTTATAAATTAGGTAAAGTTTGCTTGTAATATTAAGTTTATTCTCTTTTCCTCTCTGCTGTCCTCCTCAATCATTTTAGGAAGCACTGATTGAGCACCTGTAATACATTAGGGGGTCCTGCTGAGGGCTGGAGCTACACAAACGTGGACTGTGCCCTCACTGGGTTTGCTGCTTCTACTTGCTATACCTCTGCTCAGGCATGTGGCTGCCACTCACTACCACTGGAGTCCTGTGGTCCCAGTGGGTGTTATCAGCCCTGTGTCCTGACCTACTGCTTACCTTTCCACTCAAGCTTACCCTTCCTGGGTCCATGGCCCTGTCTGCTAGATAGTTCTTTCATTTAAATCTATATTTTTCTATTCTTACCTTAAAGAGAAGATATTGGTAACAATTTCAGATATGTTAAAAGTGGGGGAAGGAGCTGTGAGGTTTTTTATCGTAACCAGTATTTCATAGCACATGGATATTTGATACTTATATCACTGTAAGTAATAACCATAAAAAATGTTGCTATTTTAAATAATGTTTCAGTAGCCCTAGATTAATTTATTTAATAGAAAATTTACTAATATAAATATTCTATTTTGTAGAAACCTCTCTGAAATCAATTGTTGGGGGATGATCTATAAGTAAATATTTAGAGGAACCACCCAGATTGTATAAGCTATATTAGATTCCTAAACAAGGCTAACACCCCCCCCAAAAAAATTGCTATATATGTGAAAAGTTGTATTCATATATTTATTCACACAGGCATTCAATAAATATTAATGGAATGTGTACTCTGTCCCAGACTCTATTTTAGTGGCTAGATAAAACAAATGAAGTCTCTGTTCTCATCAAATTTATGGTATAGTGACAGTGCCACTAACAAAGTAAAGAAAACAAACAAGAAAATTTATTTCGTGCTGAGAAAAATGTTATGAAGTGAAATAGGTGCTGTGAAAAATAACAGGATGTCTTGACCACAGTGGTCAGAGAATGAATATCTCTGTGAAGTTTGCATTTAAGATGAGACTGGACCTGACCAGTGTGGCTCAGTTGGTTTGGAATCATCCCACAAAGCAAAAGATCACCAGTTCGACTCCCAGTGAAGGCACATGCCTGGGTTGCAGGTTTGGTCCTGGGTTGGGCCACGAAGAAGAGGCAACAGATCAGTGTTTCTCTCCCACATCAATGCTTCTCTCCCTCCCTTCCTCGTCTCTAAAAATAAAATGAATAAAATATTTTTTTAAAGATGACAATAAAGTTTAAAAAAGGCTATGTCAGGAGACCCCAAGGTGTGGCACGTCAGACGGAATCACCCAAAAAGGCATGGCAATTATAGGGTGACTATAACACTACTGAGGTTTTGGCATATGAATTTTGGTCATGCTAAATGTGAGCCAAAGTTCCAATTTTTAACTAGAAATCCTATTTCCTAAAAAGACCCTTAACTTGGGTCTGGTGAAGCCCATAACACTGTTTTGGATTTTTGCCTCCACATGCAGTGAAATGCTACTGGGTTCACAATTGTTCGGTACGTGTGCTAACCATGCATCTCTTTCTCTTCCTCTTGTACCGCCAGGCCTCCGGAACCTGTTTACAGCACTGTGAACAAACTGTGTGAGAAGCCTGCTTCTCCCAGGCACTACTCCCCTGTTGAGTGTGACAAAAGCTTCCTTCTCTCAGCTCCCTACCCCCACTACCACCTAGGCCTGCTCCCTGACTCTGAGATGACCAGGTACTGCATGTGCTTCCTCACTTCATCTTCTCAAACTGCATGTGCTTCCACAGTGATTGAATGGGTAGAATCCGCCTCTGCTCACTTCTCTTGCACTCGGCACCTTCCTCAAGGTGGAGAGATGTGCTGCTCCCTTGGTGCAATGGGATAAAGCAAGAACATTGCCTTGTTTTTTTTTTCCTGGTGTGTTCACAGAGCACTCAGACATGACCACATGATGCTCCAATGTTCTTGGTTCCCATGCATTTTTAATGAGGTATTAAGTATATTTGTCCAAAAGAATTAATTTTGAAATTTAAGTAGCACTATTTCACTCAATCAGAAGAATAAAATAGAACATGTATTGGGTATATTTTTCATAATGCTTAATGAACACTTACGATGCTTCAGGCGTATAACAAGGCCTCAGAAGTAGATACTATTATCACCATTTAATATTTTAACTAAAATATTAAGTTAGTGCCATCATTTAACTGACTCCCTAGGGTATTAAACAACTTGCCTAAAACTACATAATTAGCTAGTTCTATCTAACCAAAAATGTAATCTTAACCTTTACAGTATGTTAGCAAGCTAGGTGATTATATGTGTTCTCTTACTCAGTTATATATATATATATATATATATATATATATATATATATATATATATAGAAATTTATACAATAAACAAGTGGTTATAAATCTAAAGACTGGGACGTAATTTTGCATTAATATTCTAAAGTCTATGTGCAGTAAATAATGAAACTCCATTTTTACAGAGTTACAAAGTCAAATAGAGAAGAGAGTCAGTTTAAATTGAGAAATCTCAGTTGTGATGTTCCTAGATAGAATGGGCCACTTACAGAGTTATGTTTGCAGATAGAACATTTTTATGTATCTTCATAATATTGTCAGGGCTAAGAAACCATAGATTTTATAATGATTCAAAGTGAAAGTTAATATACCAAGAGCTTCTCAGAATATTATCTCTATTTTTTGGTATCTTCAAAGAATAAAATTAGAAGTCAATTACTGATCTCCCTAGTGAGTTACATAGCAAGTTTTTAGATTATATTTAGCACTTCTAGAAATAAATAAGAAGATATATTTTTGGCTATGTAATCAGATGGGGCATTTTCACTAATTTACAACAATTAAATCCTAATAATATTTTGGAGTGCTTTATAAATATTAATTATATCCTCCTATATTTTTAACAAATCATAAAAAGTACTTTTTGATACAGGGAATTATACAATTTTGAACCTAAACAGGAGTCACCATTGCCATGGGAAGTGAGAAGATACACACACGTACAACCACTTTCTAGCAATCATGCATCTAGAGAAGCTGGATAAAGGCAGCTGAGATTTATTGAGCTCTTCCCTGGCGCCAGGCATTTTGTCAAGCACTCCTTATGAGTGATTTCTTTTAACCCTATCACCTTATGAGGTAAACGCTGTCATTATCGGTGTTTTAAAAATAGGAAAATTGAGGTTAAAGAAGTTACCTAACGTGCCCAAGATCATCCACTAATAAACGGCAGGGCTGGGATTCAAACCCAAGGGGCCATCAGCACCTGCATCAGCACAGGCATGGTGGCAGAGATGCCTTTGCTTGCTGGAAAAAATCTCCACCCATTTCTCTTTTTCTCTCCTTTCTCTATTTTTATCCTGCCTTTTCATCTCCCTTCTTCCTGCTGAGTGTCAATAAATCTTTTTTTTAAAACCTGTGCTCTTCTGTGATGAACATAAAAGTTACATTTCTTGCACTTCCCTTGGGGGTGTTGATGTTTCCTTCCATAAAACTCACCAAAGCCAATGAGCAGGTTATAGTCTACCTTTTGTGTGTACCCACCAGGTAGCATTCTTTTTTGTTTATTTTCCATAATCTGTATTCCAAAAAACATGGGTTTCTTATTTATAACAAATGTAAAAATTCCAGTATAATTTTGAATATGTCTTTTTCAAATCACACACCCTCAGCAATCCTGACATGCGTCAGTCCCCAGCCCCCACTCCCTATCACCGCATTGGGATTTTATTTTCTATTTATTCAAATTGCCTCCTTCCTCCCCCTTTTTCTTTTCTTTTTTCATATTTTATTCTTCACTTGTAGAAAAACACATTGCACACACACGTTTTAGTTGAATGCCACCAGTACACTTATACTGAATTCTGATTTTGCCCCACTTTGCTTCCCTTTTGAGCTTCCCCAACTCAGTAAATGGCATGTACATTTACCCTGTTGTCCAAGCCAAAAACTAGAGAATTATATTTAACACCATGTTCTCCCTCACACTCATTATTCAATCTACGTTCAAGTCCTATTGATTCTACCTCCAAAGTAGAATTAATTTAATAGATTCTAATAAATTGATGTACCTCTCTTTATTAGAGGTATATTAAATAGAAAAAATCTATTCTTCTCCACTTCTATTTCCACTTTAATCCAAGCCTCCATCATCTTCCAGCTACAATAACCACCTAATAGGCCTTACCACTTCCATTATTACCCTCCTGGTTTATTTTCAGTGCAGCCAAAGTGATCTGTAAGAATACAGATCAGATCTGTTCCTCTCCTTTTGCATTAGTATTAAATGCAAAGTCAATAACATAGCATCCGAGCTATGCATGTTCTCACCCCTGCCTGCCTCTTAAACATTTCCCCTTTGCTGACCATGTTATTTACATTCACAAAATGCACTACATCTCTTCCTGCCTCGAGCGCTTCACATATGCTCTTTCCTCAAACTGGAAAAACTCTTCTTATACTTTGCCTGGTTAACTTCTGGTCATCTTAGATCTAAGCTTAAATTTAACTTCTTGGAGAAGCTCCCTGAAAGAGAAAATTTGGTTTCCTATTTTATTCTGTCTATATTTTCCATAAAACTAAAGCAAGGTATTATTATACCTTTATCTATGTGATTTTTAAACTAAATGCCTATCTCGCACTCTGTGCTATAAGCTCAGTGAGTAGAATTGTGTCTGACTTGTGCACTGCTGTATGCTTAACACTTATCATAGTGCCTGGCACAGCAGGGACTCAGAATTATTGAGTGACTAAATAAACATGGAAATAAAATCATCAGGCAGACAAGCTGACAGATACATGTTCCAGGAACAGGTCCTGGTGCAAGCTGTGCTTTCCCCAGTTCTCAGTAGGTACATTAAACAACTCCGTGAGTGAATGAATCCAATCATGGACACAAACAACCATACACAAGAGCTCACTGCTCTCTCACCTTAAATGATCTGGATGCTCAGTGTCCACATTATAGATTCATACAGTCACTCAGTTCTTACTGAAGATTCAGGAATTCCTTTCAAAGGCTATTTACTTCCTCTCCAATGAAAAAATATCTCTGAAGTAGATGTTTCTTGAAATGTGGGCAATATTTTTTTAATTTCTAGGATTTTAGTTCCACTTAGGACACCATCACTTGTTTTTTCTACTGTTACCTTAAATACCTTATACAATCTTAGAAGTGGATGAGAACTTAGAATTAGATAAGCAAGACCTTATCCAACTCAGTAATGCTGAGGAACCCAATCCCTTCGCGGGTCCATGTCTTACTTCTACTCTTGGTAAACATATTATCTGTCCTGAAAAACATATTATAAGAATGCAACTATTAATTCAGTCGGCCAAGATTTATCAAGCTCTGACAAAGTGCAAGATACTATATTAAGGCAATTTTTACAAAGAGGTATGAAAAAGCCAACCAAAAATTGTTTTTAAAATGCCCAGCATTTAAATTGCAGCATATGGCATCTGAGAATTTTCCAAACTAGTTTCAGAAACATGCACCTATTAATACAGCAAGTACTGTCTCAGATTAGGATATGAGCTACCTGGATGGAAGTTAGCATGTGAACCCACTCTTGTACCAGCTCAATCCCTAGTCAGCATTTAGAATAATGTAGACCAGTCAGAAAGAGGGAGAGTCAACCATCTGTATTCTCTGCATTTCAATGGGAATACCTCAAGTCTCATCTTTTTTAACTGATAGCAGAAATCCAGGGATGAATTACCTCTGTAACATCAACTAAAAGAAAACAGAGAAATTGTAAGTTTTCCTTATGAAAGCAGTCAAATTGCTTGACAAAGTGCCAGCTCCTAAGGCTGATTATATTTAGAGTAATTGACTTTCCAGACCTTGAAAAAACAAGTAATGGGCAGAGCCTGAAATCAGACAAACATTTGGAGCTCTGTGCAAAACAAATGAAATTGCCATGGAGCTCCTGTGTATCTAGTACGTCTTTTTCGTTTGTTTGTTTTTAGGGCGGTTTTAGAGTTATAATTGGTTTTCTACTTGGGAAGAATGGCAAATTACTCAGCTTTGGATATTCCTAGGGAAAGGAAAATATTAATAATATTCTGGTCTGTTTTTTCAACAGGTATGGCATATTTTCATCCATACTTTTACATAGCTGCTTCTAATTATTGTTATTTTGTAATCGATAATCAGAGGCAAGATAAACCAGATGAAGGCAAATTAAAATATATGGGCAGATTTGGGATCAGAAATGGACTCTGAGTCATTACATGATCATAAAATAGGTTCACTCATTGAAGAATATATATTCATGAGACTTGGACTAGGTACCAGGCATTATCCTGGATCCTAGGAATTTGGAGGGGAATGAGGCATGGTCCTTCCCTTTAAACAGTTCAAAGCATTCATTACTGTGTCGTGATTGATGTGTATCTGCCAAAGGCTCTCAGTGTCTCTGGCGTACCTAATCCTCAAGTCACTAAAATCAGGCTGGTATCAGAGGTTGTGTTGGAGGGAAGCAGTCTTCGATGGTCCCTTCTGCAGAGGTGTGAACATACACACAGGGATGTTCCCCTCTCACATCTCGCTTCATCAATTCCTAATGATCTATAAAAAGGGTTCTTTATGGGAAATTTACCATTATCTTTATATAGGCCCATCCACTGGTGTATCTACAAAGCTCCAAACTCAGGTATTATTCACTCTTATTGTAGAAATCATAAAGTTAGCAGCCTCAAGTC